ATGTATGTATGTATGTATGTATGTATGTATGTATGTATGTATGTATGTATGTATGTATGTATGTATGTATGTATGTATGTATGTATGTATGTATGTATGTATGTATGTATGTATGTATGTATGTATGTATGTATGTATGTATGTATGTATGTATGTATGTATGTATGTATGTGCCTGTGTTCGACGGTTAGATTACAGAGGGCTCAGATCGACAAAACATGAAGTCGTAATGTTTAGAACACAATAGCTTATATAGTGTCACATCGTACGCTCACAGGCTCTAGCAGGGATGACCGCAAAATTGTTTACACGTGAGATTATGGGATTTTTGGCCGATGTATGACGATTCATAACGCATGCTTGCAACTCATATACCAGTTTTTAAGGATGTGCAAACAATAGGCGAAACGACAATGTCGCTCACCGCATTGGCCGCGAGGACTTCAGAAGAAGATGTCATCGTGGATTACACAGAGCAAAATGGAATGTAGGTGTCGTTTTACTGGTAGTTCCTAGCGTACCGCGACGAAACGTCGCGCGGCTGCAAGCGATAATGAGAACGAGACGAGCGCGAAAGATAAAAAGTAGTACATAGGGTGACTTAGGATAGGTAGCAAAAAGGGAGTAGATCAATTCATTGGTGAAAGTAAATAACGTAAGAAAATATATGAATAATTGATGCTGTGGAGAAGAACACGTCATCGTCAATGCAAAATTTAAATGTGGCAAACCGCATACAATTTGGCAATCAGCACAATTTATTTGATCATTAAATGCTGTTAATAAATAGCCTTTAGTATAGCATGTACAGAATGCTAGATAGATCGAGTTGACCGCGGTGGTGGTGTACTTACGGCCATAGATAAAGAAGGCTAATTATGACTAGAGGAAAGCAAACTGGACGCAAGCAATAACGTTTCTGAGCAGCCCTCCTAATTAGACGGCGACCGTCTGTCCTGCCACGAGCTGTACTTGCTAGTTTGGCAGATACGATAAGACTTCGAGCTCGGTATTAGTCATGAATATCTTGTAATCAGCAGCTAATACGTTCATGTTATGCATTGTATTAGCCGTTCCCATCACTGGCAAAGGGATGATCGAAAAAACTGATATGGTCTTCGCTGTCAAACACCAATACTAACAATCTCATATCGCTTGCATTCCGCATAGCGACTCTGTTGCCTACGATGTGGGAGACATAATTATATGTATGTGAACTAGTTGCTTGTGTTAATGTTTATCTCATTTTTTAAGCAAAGTGTCATCACTTGTGCCAAATATCACCCACAACGGTATTTGCCCATGTTGGTATCTGATATCGGTTGTATGGAGCAATGTTATCTGCTGCCACTAGTCCTACAATTATATACAGGATTACGACATTGTCATACAAAGTACTTGCAGCGTCCAAGTATTTGTGCGCTATAATGACATCTAACGTTTATTTAATTCGTGCTATCAAATCTGTTCATTCTGTCTGTATCAAATAGGAGGCTTACCATTTCCAAATTGAGCTCATTCGTCGTTTTTTTGCGTAAAGATCTTATAAATGCGGGTACAGGGCTTATTATAACCAAATGTAGGGGTCAATTGGTCCCCCATAATAATGATGCGGCCGAACAATGGGTCCTTCGTTGTAATAGCGAATATAGCTCGTCAGTCACGGCGTATATGATGCAATCGCTACGTTTAGTATTCAGGCAGATCACTTGTGTTCTATCCATCTCAAGTTGACTGCTACTTGTAGCAGGAGGACGTCACAGGCGTAACTTCGGCTCTGTAGAAATTGTCGAGCAGACGATTTCTGTAGCGCGCTACATTATGTGCACCAGACACGACAACGATTTGTGGGCGAATGTAGTAGCGGTGTATAATGTAAGAAATAGCTTGAGCAGATGAGGGTAATTTCAAATCTATATTATGCTTAACTGTCTACGCTTGCCATATTACCTTTCTGTCCCCTGTGTTCATTCGGATGAAAGAGTAACCTTTTTGGCTCTGGTTCGACCTCGAGCTATGCCGATATACACAAGCCAAGATCTGACAGCCACTCTTGCCGCGCATTTTAACGTCCGCCAAACTCTCTCTTTTCATCACCTTTTCCAACACATATCCATTTGGAATTTGGTATCTTATTAAGCTACTGGAAGGTATATAGTGCAAGGGGGTAGCGATCCTAAAGCTGATTGCACTACAGCTTTTGAGTGTGAAGCTTGATTTATGGGAACATTAGCTTAGCATTTCATTTGGTCTTCTTCATCGTATGTATCAATACACCGATGTGCACATTTTGTGTAACGGGGCAGCCCGTTACATAGAAATTGTCATTTTAAAGAAAGTGACAATAAATAGTATTATGTTGAATATTCTTTTAACGATCACACCAATAGTGGTGATATTGATGGGTCGACCAAAGAGTCTGCTCATTGGCTGATATCTTGACGATATCAACCCACTAATCGCCACAAGGCGCGCGCAATGAGTGGTGAGTAGACGTCGTCATACATTCAGTTAGATTAGTATAATTAAGTTAAGTCAAACAGAGAGACAGTGGTTAAAGACTTAGTTATATTAATATAACAGTTATACTTTTCCCTAAGACAGTGTTGCCTCTGTCTTACCTACCGCTTCCTCGGTTGTCTCGTGTACGCTTGCCAGTGCACGATAACCTTGCGTTAAGTTCACGCAAGGGTGTGCCCCGTTACATTTTGCCTCAGCTTTCACATGTTTATCACTGCACTTTCACATGTTGTAATGACTTAGTAGGTCACCTTTCTGATTACTTTTCGAGCACTGACAATAAGCCGCCTTGCGTTGGTTCGACCCCGACCATGAGGTCGTCAATTTCTACAATCTTTATGCGCTATATTCACGAGGCTGTCGTACTTGAATTTTGTAATGATAGCCAATATCGATGACTGATAATTTAAGGAAGTCAACTCGCAAGATCATCTTTTAGTCTTGCAAATGAGTGTCGCGTCGAGGAAGGCAAAAAGCCATGTCTCTGGCGCTGCATTGTCACTCATACAGAGCGAAGCTCACTGCTCGTTGCATTGAGCTCTTACAAGTTATGAAGCAGATGGACTGAAAAAGTGCAACTGAAAGTACGTGCCTTGACAAAATATCGCCAGACTTCAAGCAGGTAGGCAATGGCATGAGACGGATCTCGGATGCCTGCCCCTCACAGGGCCGAGATGGTCGATGCAGATGGTGGCACCCAACGAGAAACTTGCACATTAGTCGGAGACAGATGTTAACATAGCCTGAATAGACGAGAAGACGTAGATTGATGATGACTGGTGGTAATAGTGGTCACCCTTCTTTTCGCCATACACGCTTCTGACAACTTGTTGGGCTTGCAGGATCCGCGACGTGTCATCTACTGACCAACTGGTGTCGTGCATCAGACGCATAAACAAAGCAAAAAGCAAATGTTATAGGGATGAGTGGCATCCCATCGTCGAGAGCAGCGAGTGATGCCCAGATAACAGCAGAATGCGATGTTTGTGTCTTTACTTCTGTTGCAATATACCTGCATCGGATGGGGCAACTCTCGTAACTTACACAACATACAACGGGAGCGTGGTTGTCGTTCTCCCTTGTGTGTCGCGACCGCTCCAGGACAACGCAAGTAACAGAACGACGTGGCGCGGTCCAAGCGTACACATGATCGACATTTTCGAGAAATGCGCAGCGTTATATAAGCTACTACACCTGTGAACTTGTACTGCATTCGACCGCATTATTGCGATGACATTCGGCATCTCAAGCCGGTAAGCTCAGCCGTAATTACTGCAGGGAATTACTATCGACGCTCGCATGACATTAACCTGTAGTTCACTAAATCTGTAACGGGGCACTGGTGACGACGTACTGGTTGACCAGTACGGAGATCACTTCCACTGACAACAGTGATATCAGTGCCTTGCTAAGTGTTGCACCAACAGAGAGGAAGGAAAGGAAACAATGTGAACAATCTAGTCTCTGGTAAAAGTAAAACTGCTATTAATATAATAGAGTCCTATCAATCTTATGTCTCTGTTTATCCTGACTTAATTATACTGATCTAACTAAACGTATGATGACGTCTACTCACCACCCATTGCGCGCGCCTAGCAGCGATTAGTGGGTTGATATCATCACGATATCAACCCATGAGTAGACCCTTCGGTCATCTTCAACAATATCATCATGCTCTGTGATATTGTTATAAGAATATTCAACGTAATATTCTTTATTGTCATATTAGCCTAAATGACAATATCATGTAACGAGCTCCCCGTTACACAATCCACAAATGTACAGGAAATGCCATCTAGAGTATGTGTGCGATCCCAGCAATGTCTCCAGCGGTTCAAGCACTGTACTTTGTCCGTGTTGACGCATCACTTATCCAGCGCAAGCAGCACGAGATGCTTCGACAAGAGTGCAAAGATAGTCGTAGACACCTCTCGTCACCACTTTGACAAATTTTGATCTATGTACTATGTAGTAATGCAGTAAAATGTACATTGCCGAAGGAAAAGACCCGTCCGAGTTGCTTTGTCGCACTATGAAACCCCGAGCTTCGTGCCAGTCGCTGACTCGACGGTCCACCACTGCACGAAACAAGCAAAGAAGGCATGCGAATTGCAATCAAATAATTGACAATAGAACAATATACAATCGAGCACCAAGCGAACGAGAGACAGACAGCAACACTGCGACAACAATCAACGAACAGCCACAGGAAGACAATATCACAAAAAGAAAGCAGCAGCAGAAAACAGCTTCAATGTAACAGCAGCAATACGACAACAAGAGAAGAACATACGAATGTGGCAATAGCAATACGACAACAGCAACAATAAGACAGCAACCACACGACCACAGCAAGAAGACAGCAACAATGATCGACGAAAAGGACCACAGCAAGCGGACAATAATTCAGTTCGACAACAATATTACAGTAACCGCTTCTCTGCCAACAAAATCGACCACGAACCAGTCGGTCTTTGATCATGTCGGACAAGTCCGAGCTCCGCGTGACTGTCGTCTTTGGCAACCAGTCGACCGCTGTGTCCATCGCAGCACACGACGCCCAAGCGCTGAAACGCCTCAAGACGACAATCGCCGCAACGTTCGACTTGGCGCCCAACTTTCAGCGCTTAGTGCTTCGAGGCCGCGACGTCGAGACGTCCACTGTCCTCACGACTGGCTGCAAACTGCTATTGCTGCGCAATCGGTTGTTCTACGAGCACTCTGAGGCTGCAAAACATATCGAGACGTCCAGAACTTTCGCAATCGCGACTTCAGCACCGCCTGTGGCTATAAAAGAGACGTCTCCAGTCGTCGCGAGAGCTCTTAAACTCGATGTGACCGAGCGGGACAATGACGTTGTAGTGGTGCACGTGTTTAGGGGCAAGAGCCGCTATGACGGGATCTTTCCGTGCACGACCAGCATATTGGACGTGAAAGTAAAAGTGAGTGCAGTGCTGGGGCTGCCTTCGCCTCAAGCGTTGAGATTACTGGTCAAGGGCAGAACTCCAGCAGACGACACAGTGCTAAAGGCTTTGGCGGGAGGCAAAACGACCATGAAAGTCATGGCGTTGCTGAGAGAGCATCAGCACGTGACGAACGAGAAGATGGAAGAGCTGAGGGAGCTGCTGAATGAGCTCGTGGCGAGCCAGACAACACTGCAGCGACTTGAGAAGCAGATTGCACGCAACTTTCTGGCGAGAGACGAGAGTTTGCTGCATCTATCGAGAGTTCTGGATGACGGTCAACGCATTGTTGGGAATCTCGAATTAGTGAAGCAGCACATGCAAAAGTCAACGGCGACTGGACCTATGGCGAGTAAAGAGACACTGACGGCGATAGCGCAAGCAATCCAAGAAGCTCATACGCTCGCCGAACGAGCTCAAGGGCTGCTAGAAAAGCATGCAGTGGTGTAAGTGAAGCGCAACAAACAGGTAGAACAAGAAGTGCCCGCTGGGATCCAATGAGGTACGTGCGAAAGCTATCGTTGCAGCGGCAAAGTGTATTTGGGAAGTCCGGGACACTAGTGGCACGGCTGATGCTGTATAACGTCGTGGTATTGCTTGTTCTAGCACTGGATGTGTTGAGGGCTCACGGGTACGAGGTATTTGACATCAACGATCCAGTCGTCTTCAGGCGCCTCACAAAAGAGATGGAGACCTCTCGAGCACAGCCAACCAGCTTGAACTTACACGCGATATGCGCCGCTCTCTATCAGCACATGTGACGTCCCGTATGTACAAAAGCAATCAATCTTTGCTTTTGAGCAATGCCGAGCATTACGAGTACCACGACTGCCGTGTAAGGTTAAGCTGACAGGGTTTTGATCCAGCTTTTGTCTTGGCTGCTACGGATCCCGCACGTTCAGGTGCAAGAATAGCGATCGATAAAGGTTTGACATTGTATAAATGGAGTGGTATGTGCAAAACACTTACTATACGTCTTTGCAAGGTGTCTATCGGCAACAAACGTCGTTGCTTGTGCTATCTCTGCTATTGGATTGGCGAGGGTCGTCGACTCCGAGACAACAACTTAATGGCTGTGTGAGCCTTCTTGCGGATAGCCAAGCAAGTGTGTCACGCAGTTCGCTCACCAGTCTTCGCATTGCTTGCTCTTTGAGAAAAGATGCTGCCATTGTATATGCGGGTCAACACAAGAGTCACTTTGCGGCAAAATCGATCGTAGGGCGTCGACAGATTATCAATGTGTTGCATTGGGCGATGCTGTTGTTCAGATGAGACACACTTTCGAATGCTGACGTGACAATGCCCGTTGTTGTGCATTCCAACACCGCTCGACACATTGATGGCATCTCACGATATCGCAATGCACCGAAGCTCACTATCTTGGCACCGAATCTCTTGCATTGAGAGCCAACACTATTGTTGCAGACACCGAATGAACCCGTACTGGAAGAACCAAAAGCCCACAAAGCGACGATAGAAAGTGGCTCGACAAATGTTCGTCGATGGCCGACGCCTCTACGTGCGCTCAAGTGTCCAAACTGCGCTGTATGTTATCAATTACAATAAGAAGACCTGCTAGACGCGCGAAGCCTGCCAAAAAAAAACAAAATTGAAATAAATAACCCCCCCCCCCCCCCCAACCCCCCCCCCATCCATAAGCTGTCTGCGTACAAACAGGAAACAACCAGCTTTGTCCTACCAGCTTTGTGTTACCAGCTTTGATCTGGCACGAGATCTGACACCTGTCAAAAGAATGCTCACTAATTCTGGAGTCGAGTTTATGCCCATCCAAATATAGCATAGCAACCAGCAGGGGTAGCACCAACGTCACCGTCGAGGCTTTTTTATCCGAATAATGTATAAAACAAAACGCGCTTCTTCTCCTGTCGCCTTTGAACGCCAGCACACGAAAGCGTCTTGTTCCGACGAGTCCTCGCCGCCGATGCTGCGTGTCCAAGTCAATTGCGCCTCGCAGGTGCCGGTCCCGCCCCCGAACGCTGCGCCACTGGAGATCTCTCGAGAGACGCGACAGCAGCTGCGGGCGACGCGTCAGCGCGCGTTCGAGCGGTACCAGGAGAACGCCCAGTGGACCAAAGAGCTGCTCGAGGACGTCAATAAGGCACAAGAGAGCGCGATAGGTACTCCAAGCAGTCCAACAGGGCGGGCGGAAGACCTCCGGCAGCAGGTTGGGGTGAGCGCAGAGTCGGTGCAGCAGCTAAACGAGCAACTGGAGCAGCAGAACGAGGCGCAGGGGGCGGCGCAGCGTCGGTCTGTTTTAAACAGCGTTTCCATTTCGGGTTATCGTCGTGCGTTGATTGTGTTTTTTACATGTGTTGCTGTATGTTTCGTTGTTTCGATCGCAGATTCGAAGAGATGATGACTATGCTGAAACGAGCCGACGATGCGGCTGCTGTAAAGGAGTGTGAAGCGCGAATTGCGCAGGAAAAGTCGCTGCTGGTGCCTGGCAAGCCACGCAAGATGGACATTGTGAGGCTGTGAACATACATTTGGCGCGGCATGCGTCGTGCATAGTGCGACAACGGTATAAGAGTGGAGAGCTTGCAGTGTAATAAAGCAAAGCAAAGTTGTTTGTTCGTTTGCTCTGTCGTTGCGAGGCTTTTTTCGTACAAGTAGACAGCAACAACAGCAGTGTTTGCAAACGCTTGGTATACACGTATACCCACGTTTTTATCCAATCATACTCGAGCACGGCCCATGCACTCGACAACTCGCACGATGGCGACGAACGAGACAAAGCTGCTGGAGCCGTACGTGTACATCAGCCAACTGCCGGGCAAGGGCGTGCGTGGCAAAATGATTGGCGCGTTCCAAACGTGGCTCTGTGCTCCATCCGATACCGTGAAGAGCATTCAGAGCATCGTGGACCAGCTCCACAACGCCAGTCTCCTGTACGTGGCTTGTCTGCAACTATTGTCGACGAAAAGCAGACCAGGGTGTAATTATGTATACACGTATTTCCATTGCAATAATTGACAAAACAATGAATTATATATATATTGTTTTGCGACAGGATCGATGATATTGAAGATGACTCGGCGATGAGACGGGGCCAGCCCGTAGCCCACCACATTTTCGGCATACCCGCGACAATTAATTGTGCCAATTACGTCTACTTCTTGTCGTTGCAAGAGTGCCAAGCTTTGGGGAACCCCAAGGCCATGCAAGTGTATACAAACGAGATGCTGAGACTGCATCAAGGCCAAGGACTGGACATTTTCTGGCGGGACCATTTGCAATGTCCGACAGTCGACGAGTACCTCGAGATGGTGCAAAACAGTGAGTGCAAAACGATTATACTTGGGACAAGTCATGTTTTGTTACGTGATGAGAGACAGTGAGGAGATTTTGTGCTGGGCTGTTGGTCGTGGATTTACGAGTTGTCGTTCCGCTCGTGTGTTTTGGTGGTGGCTGCAACACTAGAGACGGGCGGACTGTTTCGACTAGCAGTGGGGCTGATGCAGGCGTTTAGTGACTGTTGTCTCGACTTTACGCCGCTCGTAAACGCGCTGGCGGTCTACTTTCAGATTCGAGACGACTACATCAATCTACTGGACGCAGCGTACATGGAGAACAAGAGTTTCTGCGAAGACCTCACCGAGGGCAAGTTTTCGTTCCCGCTCATTGTGGCGATTCGCGAGAACCCGCAGGACACGAGACTGCTGAGCATTCTCAAGCAACGCACCAAGAGCAAGCACCTGAAGCAGTATGCGGTGCAGTATCTACGCGAAACTGGCGCTGTCGAGTTTACTCTTGCGAAGCTCAACGAGACAGTGCAGGAAATCCGCAACGAAATTGCCGCGCTAGGAGGCAATGTAGCACTGGAAGCGATCGTGGATAGTTTGCACGCGACTATCAAATAGACAATGCAGCTGTGCTGATCGTGTTGTCTAGAATCCCACTGAGACGGAGCCCACACTGCAGCGTGTTCGACTCGAGACTTTCTGTGAGTCGAGAATTGATGCAAACATGCGACATGAACACTGAAGTGATGGCACTGATCAACAGCGCATGCAGAGGGCGCATGATCCATTACTGCTACATGGGTTGACACAGAAGATACTAACGTGTCGCAATGACCACGTAGCGCTCTTTGAGACTTATTGCACGGCCAGAGCTCAGTCGTATGGAGCGGCCAAATTGTCATCCAAATTGTTTCTCAGTCGTCAGCTCATAGCTTTTAGTATCTGACGTACTGACGAATGACAAACATTGTGTCGGATTCGATGCAACTCGAGTTGTCGAGACTTTGTGTGACCTGATACCAAGAACGGTGTCTCAGCCTGGTGCTCCAGCTACCCGATCCAAGTTTTCGTCAGCGTCCTCCCTGGATCGATCGAGTTACTTGCCGTGAAAACGTTTGACAGCAGTCCAAGTGCTTGAAGGCCGAAAGACGGTGTTGGATCGATCGTATTATTGCGTGACGGTAGAGTAGTCGGTCAAGCCAGCGACTTTGTACCGCGTTTAGCACAGTTGTCTCATCGCACAACTCAATCAGACAAAGAAGTATGCATAACAACGTGTTGTAGCTTTCTTAGACACTGATAGCAGGCTCTAGGAGCGCCTAAACAGGGTCGGTGAAGGCTGAGAGCCCGCTTTGAGTAACGAAGTTCGAGATGTTGATGCTAGGCGTGGTAGACAGTCTTTATGGTTCAACAAAACGGCGCTTCTTGTTGTGGAAAACTTCATCTGTCGGCCTACTTGGCCCCACAGCTTTATCGTTCATATACCTGAAAATGCTTCATACTGCGCATTGGTATTATGCACGTAATGCCATTGCAATGAGCGGGTCAAGGACTTAGTTAGCGTAGTCGATCCTACTCCCATATTTTCTCAATCGAAGGGTCTAAATGTCTATCTACAAAGTCGCTCGACAAAGGTCAACATGGAGGACATTTGGTGCACCAGAGCGGGGCGTGATGGTCGTAAAAGTAGTGGTCTACTGCGTTCATCGACAAGCTGCAGCGACACGCACCTGGTTCAACGCATGGGAACTCGGTCCGGCCAAACGAAGTAGTGGAACGACATCGCAAATACATTTGCTATCGTCACGAGACGACTCACGCGATCCGTCTGCCGGACCGTCTCGAAGCGGTTTCCAAAGACGTGACTGCAACACGCTTACAAGAAACTCAGAGTTAGTGTTCGGCATCATGAGCACGTGGGACGGGACACACAGAGTAATTAGCGTCTATGCTATCAGCTTGCAGAATGGATGAACAAACACTTCGAGTGACAATCGGTCATTACCACTGGCACATAATGGAGAGCTGCGGTACGATACAGGCCAAGCGCTCGACTAGAGACAGGCTCTTGGCACGTGATTGAAACACCAGTCTACGCCAAGGCGAGCCGAAGAGGAACGAGACTGCAAGTTGTAGGGAATGTAGTTACATGCTATCTGCCAAACTGGCACCTGCGCTGGCTATCATCTTGACATCGCTACATCGTTGATCTCAGCAAGCGCAGGTAGTAGTCACAACTGTGTGGATCGAATGCAGCATCGCACCTGTTGTTTCAAGACGAAGGAATAGTTCTACGTGGGCGAAATGACGTTGTTGTCAGTCTTCGTCGCGGCTCACTACTACGGGTTTCCGGCTTGCTATAGCGATGAAGAGTCGGAGCCTCGTGCCTGATATACTACTTCGTGCGCTTGTATTGCAAAGCTACGAGCGGGTATCGCGCTGTTGTAGGGGATTGATTAGACGAAATGTGATTAGACGTCAGGTCGCAACAGTCTGCGCCTGAGACCCAGAGGCAGTAGCGACACGTACCAAAGAGTTCACACAAGAGCGCGTCCGATTACAGCCGATCGATCTAGTGCTAATCAGTCGAGATACAGTGTCGAATGCCGTAAAACTTTCGATCGTTTTGGACGGTTGCTGTCGCCTGACATGTCGTAGCGCATTCCTCTTTGTCACCAACAGCGACGTTGGGTGCCGAAACAGTAGTCGATCTCAGCCGACCGCATCTCTTCCTGACGCCTTTTTGTTCCGAGTCGTTAACGACTACCGACGCGTCTTGTGCGTGATCAGGTAGACGTTGTTTCAAACGTGTTGGCTATGCTCACATGTGTACGAGGGATTTCTGAGGCCGCGATGTAGGCCACGGTCCGAGAAAGAGGGAAAAAGCAGTCCAAGAGTTTGCTTTCTTTTTGTGATGTGGTGGACATAGCTTTGGGGGCCAAAGCATCCCTTGCTGTGTGCATCTTCAACCGCAGTGGAGGTCCCGCATCTGTAGAGCAGCGTCTACGTATGTAAATGCATACATGACGAACGACGGAGGGCGCGCGACATTTCGTGTCCCACCACCTAAACTCTTACCTTCAACAGCGTGTGTCATAGCTGTCGGATCCGTCCATGACGAAAAGCGTCTTGGGGCAGACAGTGGCCGCACTGAGCTCGTAGGTGTCCACCGACCGACGTCGCTGTGGATGTGCCTCACGTTCAGACAGGCCAACGGGTGCAGAAGCGTAATCATTGTGGCCAGCTATCGTGCCATGAACGAGTTCGACGACCGGCAAAGTGGTCGTCTGTAGTGCAGATCCAACGCGCGCAGTATACCGTTCAGTCAGAGAGTGGGTGGACAGGAAGCTGCAGTGGCGGACCAGGAGCCCACTCGCACGGGGAAACGAAAGTGCGCTGTTCGCGATCGTATTGTGGGACGACTAAGACATCGCAGCGATTTCTTCGTCCGGACATGAGATTTCTGTCGCAGATGACAGCCGCGGACTGGGCCCGCGCAACAGTGATGGGCTTAAGATCGTTGACTTGCCGTGAGGAGGTGCACGTGGTCGTGTGAGAAGTTGCCAGGTGTCTTGTTCGCAGCCGCAGCTGCTGCTGCTGCTGTTGACGTCGTCCATCCGGTGCTGTAAAGTGTATATGGACCGTCCACTCGAGCGTCCAACTCGTGTATCTCGCGGATTAGGGCTGGCGCGACCGTCTGGCTGACTTCAACGAAAGGCGCTGTTCAGAAAAAGACAGTGCGAATGGAAGTCGCAGCTCACGACCAAGTCGACATCCACTGGCAATCGTAACCCACACCCGTTGCAGCCCGCCACACTATCTTCTGTGTAGTGTGTCGGTCAGTGTACCAGGCGTAACATCCCTTCCACTCTCACCTGGGCAAGTCTAGACGAACGCCATCCACTCTTGCCTGATACGCTCTTTGTCGCCCCTATCCAGTACCCAGGGCGGCTATCCATCCATCTTTCCACGTATCCTATCTATCGATTCGCGTAAATGTATGCAAATGTCTGTCTGGGAGTGGCCTACTTGTACCGCTCGACCGGGAAGGTCGGAACGAAGCCGAGGCGAAGGTGTACCTACCGCCAAGACATCGTTTTGAGCCTTAGTGGACCATCCCACTGCACGCTGCGTGGATCGTTCCACAGACGTCGACCGCTCGCGTGCGTTCCGTCGCCGAGACAAATAGCTGACGTACCGTATGGAGACGAGAGATCGCGCGCGCGCTTGAGCCCGACGACAGGGCGACCGACCACACCGCCCTCGGTCTCCGCTGTCCACTGCCGACGGCAATCGACTCACAACACCCGTTCCGACCGCGCAGACGCTGCGGCTTCAACTCCCGACGTCCTCAGTTTTGAATCTGCCGTCGTGCAGTCCATCGACTTCCGCGACTCTCCGACGATGAACGACGACGACGACGTCTTCTTCTTTGCGGCGGCCGCCGTGCACCCTACCGCAGGGTACCTCTTTGCCGACGAGCTCGACATGCAGTGCTCAGCTCTGGACGAGCTGCACGCGATGCTGCTGCAAGAGCCGACGGAACGGCCTTTTGCGTCGAGTTGTTGCACGCTGTCGACTGCGGTCGTGGAGTGCGTGTCGCCCACTTCGCCCTCTTCTGTCACGCACCTGCGGCCGTGCGGAGACAGTGACGAGACGTCTCTACTACCAAAGCACATTGACGACATTGACCGGTCAGGGGGGCGGCCCTCGACGTGTACCAACTACAACTCAGCAGTTATCAAACCGGAAGTTGCTGCTGCTGCTGCAACAATAACAGCAGCAGCAACGACAGTAACAACAACGACATTGCGATCCACGTGTCCCCCAGAGGTACCACTGCCCGCCGTCGCTCACGACGTCGTCGAGACGAGCGACGACGAAGACAGAGAGCGACTTCGACGACGTCAAAGGGGCTATGAGAAGCGCTATCGCGGCCGCAAACGAGTGAGTCGCTCGTCTGCCTGTTCCATATTTATAGATATATATTTATAGCTATATTTATAGAGATAGAGATACGTGAACCCACTTGTTCACGTTGCACTAATGGCGTGAAACCGCATCGAAACTCAGAAGCTGATGGTGTCGAAACGAGTGGACAGTGATAGTAACGTCGTTTTGTATCCATGTGTTGTGCTGCTGCATTGTGGTCTCTTCTGCGTTGTTCCTAGCGCGACCTCAAGATGCAGCGGGACCTGTGGCTCGCGCTCGAGATGAAGCTCGACGACGCGCGCAAACGCGTCTGCCGGCCGTACGTGCGCGTCGAGGCGGCGCCCAGGGACGCGCTGCGCGTGCAGCTGCTGCTGCTGAAGCTCGAGGAGCGCGCGCTGCGACACGACCGCGTCGCCATGCGGTCGCTCCAGGCGTGGGAACACATCTCGCGCATCCGCGAGTACTCGGACAAGAACCAGCTGCGGACGGCGAGCGAGTGGCGGCACAGCGCCGATAAGGTCATTGGCCGCTGTGCGGTGCTCGGCCCCCGTCGGTTCCATCCGTACGCGCCGCTGCTGCAGCGCCACTTTCGCTGGTAACGACGTGGCGCACTGGACCAGCGAGCGCTCTCTATACCGCGCTGTCTGTGCGTCATCCACTGCTGTCGTTTCACTTGAGGTTGGGCGTCGTCAAGTGCGGTTAAAAGTGTCCTCAGGCGCACGCACTGACGTGGAAAGTGGACGTTGTCACGCGAATGAAAGACGACACTCGTCGTGCGCTGTCGTGGCCGTCCAAGTGCTCCATCTGGTGCCAGGAGGACCGTCTGCGCTGACCTGTGCGTCACACACACAGACAGATAGTCACAGACAGACAGACAGACAGATACGCAGACAGACACAGACAAACACAATGAGACAGACAGACACACGGCCAAAGCGACACGAACGTTGCAACACTTTCTCCTGCTACTTCTCATTCTCTCATCCTCTCATTCTTTCTTTCCTCTCTCTCTCTCTCTCTCTCTCTCTTTTGGAATACTGCGGCACCGGACGTTTCGGCCTCCACCACCACCACCCAAGTCACTTATTGCCAGACTGAGCTCACTTTGCGAGTAGATTCGATTGATTACGGACGCAGGTGCTCGAGACGGGCACCGCGCGCGTTGCGCCAACTTGTCGCCGAGTGGTTCAGTCGTCGACCAGAGGCCATAGGTGCACCGATTCGGCGATCAGGACGCGTCATAGGCGGTACTGGTCGTCGAGTGTCGGGAACGCGGTCAGGCGTGCGGTGTCCACGAGTGTCCCACAGAGTGGGACAGCGACCGGTCATCAAGTGACTACTGCGGTCGATGCGCCCCCTCCTTTGGCGTCGACGAGAGTCCGCACACGACTGAATCCCTCTCCCGTTGCGGCCATTTACGAGCCCTTTGTCCTCCTCTTAGATCCCGTGCGCTTTCGATTCACTAGACGGCCTTCGACTGCAACGCACGGAACGGCGTTGCCGCGATCGAACGAGCGATTTCTACTGTATGGGAAGAAGAAATCAATCGGACCGACTTGATCCGGTCAGGTGGCGGCGCCTGTTGCCCTCGGGAGCTGCAAGTCCGTCATCAACTTCAACGTGCGTCGTCCTTTCTACGTGGAAGCACTGGCCCGAAAACTACCGCACGACGCCGCACAGGCGCAAAGAGAGAGAGAGAGAGAGAGAGAGAGAGAGGGGGGGGGGGGGAGAGAGAGAGAGGGGGGAAAAGAGAGAGAGAGAGAGAGAGAGAGAGAGAGAGAGAGAGAGAGAGAGAGAGAGAGAGAGAGAGAGAGAGAGAGACCGGCGGCAAATGGACCTGCAGCGTCTCCTTCTGATTGCCGCAAGCGACAAGTCGGTCGTCGCTGCAACTCACGCGCACAGGTGCACCGGTCTTCCCATCGAACACTGACGCGCATCCCATGACGGCCACTTGGCAGACGACGACGACGACGACGAAGACGACGACGACGACGACGAAGACGACGACCTGCGCGACAGAAAGACCGGCGACGACTCTGTTAACTTTCGATCGAGCACTTGGCCCTCGCTCAGACCGCTCGTCAATTCTCTCTCTCTCTCTTTCGGACCTCCTCACCCGCACTCACTTTACTATTGACAAAAGTCGCGCGCAGCAGTCGCAATTGAACGACCGCAACACGCGCGTACGTCCCCCAGACGGCCCCACACATCTCGAGCTCCAGACGCCACTGCTTTGTCGATCGCTCCTGCGGCGTCTGCTTCTTCATTCTGCAATTGTCGCGTCCGTAGCGACATGAGCCGTAGCCCCACCCCGCACGAACTCGAGTTCGCGGCCGTGTGCACGTTCCTCAACGAGCTGAGTCTCGACGAGATCATTCAGTGTGGCGGCGGACGAGACAGCGAAGTAGACGCTCTGCCGTCTGTGAACGCTGCAGAGACAGTCGTGCGGGGGTTCCGACTGACGTCCTACTTCCACTCGGACGAGAGCAACTGCAGCTGGGAGGACGACGACGATGACGACCGGGACGACCTCGCGCGGGAGTGGGCCACTGCGGGCGTCACGTCGAGCGAAGGGAGCGACAGTGACGACCTCCACGAGCGCCACGCGCGCGCCGACTCGTTGGCCGCCTCGAAAGCGAAGCGGCTGCGGACCGAATCGCAGCGAGAGCTTCAGCGGTCGTACGACCGCAAGTTCCGCACGAACAAACGGGTGCGTCGGAGCTCTAATGGGTTCTTTTCGGTGGGGTGCGACGGTCAGCTGTCGCTTCCGAAAGTGGACTATAGACATCTGTCGATCTGTTTCTAGCTACATGTCTATCTGTCTACATGTCTATAGATCTACATGTCTATAGACCTACATGTCTATCTACCTGTCGACCTGATATCGATCAAGTACTGACATTGGAATGTCGTTCAACTCGATCCTCGTAGGCGCGTCGGCTCGCTGGGTGTGAGACGTTTATTGCCGCACTGCAAGAGCTCACAGTGCTCATGCAGTACCGCCTCGCGCGGACAGAGAACGAGCTCCACGTGCTCTGTCTCGCCAAGAAAAAAAAGAGAACGACTGTGTTGCTGAACGCGTCTGCGCGACGTCAACTGGAGCAAAATCAAGGGGTCGTCCAGTGCATTCAGTCGTGTACGTCGAGCTGGAGACAGGAAAAGAGTGGCGAGCTGGGCAAATACTTTCTGCGGGACCAGGCCAAGAAGATCCAGGGACTTGTGGACGAGCTGCTGGACCTCAGGATGCAGCTGGACGACCGGACGGAGGAACTGCGGTGGCGCGTGGAAGAAGAGACAACTGGCGTGTGGGTGTGAGCATTGGGGTTGCACTCGAGTGTGTTCCACGTTGACAGAGTAGAAAGATGTATCTATGAATGTATGAATGGATCGATGGATCGACGTAGCGCTTCGGGCAGTAGGAGTCCCGAGCATTGCATTGTCGACATTGGGCACAACAGAGAACCCCATTGCCACGGCAACGATTGACACCGTTTGCTATCAGTGGAAATGGCGATTAGGTAACCATAATGAAGACGCATGTTGGGGGTTCCAAAGAAACAAACAAAGGCACCTGATATGAACTTTCCATATTATGAGAAATTGCTTCTGCTGATGTCACCGCAAGTCATGCGGTTATGAATGGGCGTTATGTTAGCAACGAATGCATCGAATGTGGTTGAACACACGACAACTGGTAAAAAAAACAATTGGAAGTAGAGCTGTGATACGCACCTTTGTATTTGACTCCTTTGCAACTGTCTGGTGCTTTTGAGTCTCTCCTATGCATAAGATGCTGTTGAGTCTCTTCGATGCACAAGATGTGTGTTCCAACGCCGCAATCATATGCTGTCACTACAAAGAGTGAGTCCTTTTTTTCGTTATTTGTTAGGCAAAAGCACGAAAAGCGCATGTGTATGTGTTGTCAAAGGCCTCTAAGCGCATGTGTATGTGTTGTCATAGACACGCGAGGCAAAACTCGACTGTGTCCCTGCATACAGTTACACTGAGCCCGTCGACTGCGCTTCCGCCTCTTGGCAGCTCTTGCCCCGTCCGCCGCGCTGTGGAATGTACCAGCAGTGCTTAATGGCAATGCCGCCAACAACAGTACGATCCACATCTTCCGTCATCGACCAGCGCTCGTCAAACGTGTTAAAGTTGACCTTCAGCCACGTCGGCGAGAGCGTGAGCGAGAAAAAGCCATAGGGATAGTGCCCAGCTGCCCACACGTTCTCCACATAGTCTTGAGCGTACGGCGGAATGCCACTCGGGGACTCGTTCTGAATGCCACCGCCTGCGCCATTCTCGATAAAGTGCGTCTTAAACGCCGAGTAGTCGTGCTTCTCGCCGTGCGTGTGGCCATACATGAAGAGCTGAATGCCCAGTCCGTCCAACAACTTGCGCCACTTTTCGGCCGGCCCGGGCGCGTAGTGGTTATAGGGTGAATAGTGCGTATTGACAATCTTCCACGTCGCATTCGAAGCTTTCGCAGCATTGACAAGTTTCTGCCGCGAGTCGGCCCCCCACGCCTGTAGTTTGTCCATACATGCGTCAAACATGGTATGGTCGCCCCCGGCACAGAGGCGGTCGCCTCGCTTTACGTTTTCACACGAGCCGTCGTCTTTGCCCGAGTAGCCATAACACTGGCAGCAAATCTGCTGCGCGCCGTGCGAGTCGGCGTCGTTCGTGTCGAGATTGAAAATGTCAACCGTCACGTTGGACGAGGGCGACGCGATCGAGTGCACGTAAAAGTGGTCGGGCAGGAGCCACCGATTGTCTTGGGGACTCACGTATTGCGACTGGAGCGCAAACTTGTCGTCCAGTGCGGCCAGCAGCTCCGACGTCGAGCCACACTCGACAGCCTGTTCCCCGTTCGTGCACACAAAGCTCGCGCCGCCATAGTCGTGATTGCCCATGACGTTGACCCACGGGACGCCAGTCAAACTCGGCGCATCGTACTTGTCCTCGAACGTCTGCTGGAACCGGTACGCCTGGTCGGTCAGGCCGTGCAGGCCGTCCCAGTAAAAGTTGTCCCCGTGGCCAATGACGACGGACGGTCGCGGCTGCAGTGCTCCAGCCGCTTGGCCCAGCAGGATCGACACGTACTCCATTGCATTGTAGTCCAACACGGTGAAAGACTTGCGACGGGCGCAACAGGAGCCGCCGGTTTTGGCAATGGTGCGACCCCAATCGCCAATTGCAAGCGCAGACACGGAATAGGTCTCAGTCAGGGGGTCCGTCGTCTCTTCGTCGGCTTCGAGCGAGCCACTGCTCGAGCCACTGCTCTTGAAACTGCGTAGTTTGTCTTTTGTGTGTGGCGTCTCTGTCGTTGATCCAATGTCGGCGTCTCGTGCCTTGTGGTTGTCGCCCGAAGCGGTCGACGTGTGCGAACTCGTCACTGTCACAGCGACCACAATAACTGCCACAACGACTGCGAGCCCCACGACGACACTGATCACAACCGCTTTCCTCTGCATTGCGATAGAAAAGCAGTCGAGTTTGGCACAGGTCCTGAAGAGAGCGCAAGAACCACAATGAGTATCGGTCTGCTACGCTACCGTCAGCGATTGCGAGGCCTGCAGCATCAATCGCTCTGTCGGAACGCCATCAGAAATCGCTTGGAAAGTGGAGCCACGAGCCATCGGCACGCGAGTAGTTATGAACGTCTTCTTCCGGTATACGGCGTCTGTATGCGTCGTCTTTCGCCGTCGAAAGCGTCCCACGTGACACCATCAACGTCCATCACCAGATACCGCACGTCAGAGTCTGTCAGTGCGTGTCCACTTCAACATCAAAAGCTGCGCTGACTATCCATCTGCCACGATCCGACTCGACGACGAAGCAAAAAGGATCCGACTCGCAGTCGCTAATGATAATGTTGAGACTGTATGGAATCGACGCTCCTGCAGTTTGTGCGTATCGCACGACTAGAAAAAGGATAGAGGCGTCAATGGGTACAGTACGTACGCGCGAATCCTACAGACATATGGTCTTGTGGACCGACAGTGCCAACACCTTCTCGACTGAGTCGGTCCGAGCAAGTGCTGGTCGGATGGCATACGAAAAGGTCAGTCCCTATGCCATTTCGCAACACGAGGAGGAGCGCGGCGACTACTCTACCAGCCAAGATGGACAGAGCTAGACGATGTCAATATTAATGATCTTGATGTCGATGACGGGCTTGTCCGACTTATCCACCCGTACGCTCTCGATGCTGGATACAATGTCTTTGCCGTGTTCCACTCGACCAAAGACAGTGTGCTTGTTGTCCAGCCACGGTGTAGGTACGGTCGTGATGAAGAACTGCGAGCCATTCGTGCCAGGACCCGCGTTGGCCATCGAAAGCGTGAATGGACGATCGTGGCGCAAGCTGCGGTGGAACTCGTCTTCGAACTCGCCGCCCCAAATGGACTCGCCACCGGTGCCATCTCCTAGCGGGTCGCCTGTTTGGACCATAAAGTTCTTGATCACACGGTGGAAAAGCAGATTGTCGTAGTATTTGTTGCGCGCGTGCGTGCAAAAGTTTTCCACAGTCCTCGGACACTCCTTGCCAAACAACTTGAGCGTGATATCGCCCATCGTTGTGTGGACGACAGCCGTCTCGCCAAGCACCTTGGCAGTACTGGACTCTGACGCGACCTGAGCCTCTTCCAGCGTAGGTTTCTCATTGAACACGTCGCGGCCAGTGCCGCCATCTTCGGCTTCGTCTTCTTCCGGCTCTCGGGTCGAAAAGAGGAAGAAACGGTTGCGCTTGAACGCAGTGCAAAAGAGCGTCGGGTCGACATTGTCGCGCTCAGCTGCAGCGTCCGCCATCACCTGTGCTTCGTGCTTGAGTCCCGAGGCGGTCTTGAGGTGCTTGTCAAACTGCGTGTCGACTTTTGGCTTGCCTTGGAACAGACTCAGATGCAGAAAACGATCCGAGCTCTCGACTTTGCCCAGTACTCGCACAACTTTGTTCGTCTCAATGTTCACGACTTTGATACCTGCGAGCGTCGCATAGAGAATAAAGTGGCCCGACTCGTCAAAGATGCAGTTCGACACGACGTCCGAGTCGGCCACTTCCCGCTCCACAGCTGCTCGACGACCAAAGTCGATCGCGTCCAGCTGCAGCGTCTCGTCGGCCTGGGCATCTTCAAACACGGCCAAGCTCTCGTCGTACTTGCGCCGCAGTTTGCCCGTGACGAACCGCATCACACGAATCTGATTGTCTTTGGCCGTGACCACAAACTTTGAGCCATCGCGCGAGACGTCGAGCGCCGTGGCGTACGTCTTGCACTTGGCGAGCTCGTACAAGTCCGTCTCGCCTTTGTAGCGGAACTGGACACCAAGTGGCAGTTTGTGCGTCTCCGTGTCCCAGTACTCGATCACACCGTTTCGATCGGCCGATAGCACGCAATTGACGACGGGATTGAGCGCCAGTGCCGTCACGGGCGCCGCGTGCAAGTGACTAATGGTGCACGTCGGCTCGTCTGTTGCACTGTCGGCCGCGTAGATACGGATCGCTGGCCCGTTTGTGTCCGCGACCGCGACCTTTGGCGCCAAACCCCTTTTCCCCGAGATCCAGCAGCACACGCCCGGGCTATACGCGACCGTGAGCATGTTGACCATGTCGAAAGCTAATACATCGTAGAACTTGATACTGCGGTCCGCCGACGTACTGCAGAGCCGCAGGCCGTCAGTGGACACGGCCAGTCCCTGCACGGCCTTCACGTGGGCTTGATAATGTTTGACAAACTCAATGGACTGCGCCATCTTCTTCCAGAACTTCACGTGGCCGTCGACGCTCGCCGTGATAACAAACTGCGTCTCGGGCGCCACGAGCACGTGGGACACCGTCGCGCGGTGCATGTAACTGCGCTCGTACATGGCGGCACTGGGCAAGTTGGCTACGTACGTGGCTTCGAAGCGCAGCTTCTTGTGCTTCTTCGCGACGGGCGGTAGGGGCAGTGGCGCCGGTCCGTCGTCCTCGTCACAGCTGCCGGCGGTGTCGTTGGGGGCGTGGGGGCGCTTGGGCGCGGCGAGGGACGGCATGACGGGACGGGAGGAGCCGGAGGAAGCGATCGGGTCGGGCGTGGCGGGCGATTGATTAAGTTTGAGAGGCACGTGGGGTACGCTGGCGCCCTGACGCGTGCCGAAATCCATGTGGGCCACAGGAACGACTGTGTTTGTGCAGGTTGATGAGGTCGCTGATGTGGAACTTAATACCGGAATGGCCTTGCTGGGGGTACGCACAGCGTGACAAAACCAGGTAGGCTACTGTCGAGTGGGTCACGGGCAACTTTGGTCTCGTCGCTCGTCGCTCGTAGTTTACGCGTTTTGATGCGATTTCTCACGACATTTCGCTACAACAAGTCGCAATGCGGACGCGGTGTTTTCGAAATGCAAGTAAAATAAAAGCTCCTGCAAAGAACAACCAGCCAACCCGATCGTGTCAAAGCCGTTTGTCTGCGCCTCTTTTCAGCCAATCGCAGCCGTCTCCTCGACCCCCGCAACTCACGCGAAGGATCGCATTCCCCGATCTTCTTCTTCAAGATGCAGTCCCTCTCCCTCACGGCCGCTGTCGCGCTGTCCCTCGTCGCAGCTGTCGCCTCGTCGTCTCGCGATCATCAGCGCATTGATCGCTTGTTCCCCACTCGAGACGACGACGACGCAGCGGCCGACTCGTGTCACGGCTACGCGACCAAAGACAAGTGTCTGGCCACCCACTGCGCCTGGTGCGTCTGCGCGGCCGTCCCGTCGTCCTGTTACTCGCTCGAAGAAGCCGACGAACTGCCGCCTGCCATTTTCCAGTGCTCGAAAGGGCAACACGCGCCGTCTCGACCGCTCTCGTGGGAGCTCGAGCGCGTTCCGTCCACGTCCGTGGAGCTCAGCCGTCTGTTTGACGCCTGGAAGACCGAACACGGCAAGAGCTACGAGTCCGTTGGCCAGCACGAGCTCCGTCGCGGCATCTTTGAGGTCAATGCGCGCTCCGTGGCGGCGCACAACAGCAGACCCGACACGCGCTTCCGTCTCGAGCTCAATGAGTTTGCCGACACGACGTGGGGCGAGTTCCAGAGCTGGTACTTGGGAACACCGCAAGAGTGCTCGGCCACTGTGGCAATGGACAGTGACGACGCTGTGACGTACGATCCTGTACCGGCAGAGAGAGACTGGAGAGCAGAGGGAGCTGTGTCGCCGGTGAAGAACCAGGGCAAGTGTGGCTCGTGCTGGACGTTCTCGACCACGGGGTGTCTCGAGAGCCACATGAAGCTGAAACATGGCGAGTTTACCATCTTGTCGGAGCAGAACTTGCTCGACTGTGCACAGAACTTTGACAATCATGGCTGCAATGGCGGGCTGCCGTCGCACGCTTTCGAGTACGTCAAGTACAATGGGGGCTTGGACTTGGAATACGTGAGTAGCAGTGTGGAACGTCTTGCTAGTGGTTGCGCTGGTCGTTTTTGTGTGTACCTGACGCTTGTTTTGTGCTGTTTTTTGGCTTCATGTGCAGACTTATCCATATGAGGCAAAGGAGGGCAAGTGCAAGTTCAACACGTACCACGTTGGTGCACAAGTGGACCAGGTGGTGAACATCACGTCACAGAATGAGCACGAGCTGATGGCTGCCGTGGGCACGGTCGGCCCTGTCAGTATTGCCTTCCAAGTGGTGTCGGACTTTCGCTTCTACAAGTCGGGTGTGTACGAGTCGAGCGAGTGCCGCTCAGGCGAGAAGGATGTGAACCACGCCGTCCTCGCTGTCGGCTACGGCGTGGAGGACGGCAAGAACCACTGGATTGTCAAGAACAGCTGGGGGTCGAAGTGGGGACTCGACGGTTTCTTTCAGATCGCACGGGGCCGTAACATGTGCGGCTTGGCTGACTGTGCCTCGTATCCGATCGTGGTGTAAAAGCGTGTGACGCCGTCGAATGCCGTCAAACGCCTCTTCTCGCTGATCGATCGTACCGCTCAGGATACTGCTGCAGCAGCTGCTCGAACGTGGCGACCGATTACGTATCTGCGTGTGGTATGCCACTATGTCACTTGACGTCAATGATCATGAGTTGAGCCGCCGTCGGACAAGGCGGACCTTTTCCGAGTAACTCTTGTAATGAAAAAGGTCTCTGTACTGTCGACATGTGCTGCAAGTGCGTGCGAGTCCCACGACGGCCAATGTGGTGACTCATCTACCACCGACGCAACTCGTCTCCATTTGCGCTGCTGCCTCCAGTGTGAAGCTGTCGTTGCGGGCACCAGATGCAACTGGGACTGTCTGTCGAAACATTAGCAGTGCTTAGCGCTCGTGGGCGACATCAACCTAACAAAGGGCAAAAGGGTCAGTGAGCTGTAACCATGCGGGAAGAAAAGCGCCGGCACTTTTCCTGATGAGCCGTCGAGTCGCGCGTGGCACGGAACGAGTGGTGGCAAGCTCGTCACTGCAGCGCAGACGATACGGGAAGGCAACGACGCCCTTTCCACGGCGCCTCAGGTCAAGTTACTTGCGTCCAGTATCGACGAATCAGCGCGCTGTCTCCGTGGAAAGGCCGTTGCATAAGATGTCAAAGGCCAGCGCATAGCCAGCTGCGAAGGCCCTCGCTGCCACACCACAGCCACACCAAAACTACCCACACGCGAAGCGGCTTCTTGCCCGCGACGACTTCCACTCGGCTGCAGAGCGCTATTAAGTGTGACAGGTGCCCAGTCGCCGCCACCACTGACGTCCGTCCCGAAAGGGAGGCAGAGCGTCCCGCCTCGTGTGGCGACTGCTGCTGCTACTTCAGAGCCAGCACGATCGACCGCACACGTCCCGTCATAACGCCATTTGCCAATGGCGCAACGCCCCACGAGCGCCCACTGCGCCCGCAATCGCGACAACTATACCACCAGCAACAGCAATCCCAGTGGCAATCCCAGCACCAGTAGCACTCCTCCTCCTCCAGCGCCGTCCGAGTCCATGCCGCTCCTGCCCCACCGCGCGCCGTCTATGCTCGAGGCCAAACCCTCGCGCCGGCTGCCGCTCTCGGACGCCGCCAAGCGCGCGCAGCACAAACTGCAGCTCGCGTGCGTCTGTTCGCTGCTCTTTATGGGCGCCGAAGTCGTCGGCGGCTTTGTGGCCGGGAGTTTGGCCATCATGACGGACGCTGCGCACCTGCTGTCGGACGTCGCGGGCTTTTGCATTTCGCTCTTTGCCATTTGGGTCACGACACTGCCGGCGTCGAGTCGCCTGAGCTTTGGCTTCCAGCGCGCCGAAGTGATTGGCGCGATCACGAGTGTGCTCGTGATTTGGGTCCTCACGGGCGTTTTGGTCTACGCGGCCGTCGAGCGCCTCGTCGAGTGCCTGCGGCCCGACCCGCCCGAGCGCGTGGACGGCAAACTCATGTTTATTGTCGCGTGCATTGGGCTCTGTGTGAATCTGATGCTGATGCAGATCTTGGGACACGGCCACAGCCACGGAGGCGGCCACGGCCACAGTCACAGTCACGGGCATAGTCACGGGCATAGTCACGGGCACGGAAGTACGAGCCGAGACGGGGCCAACAGTGGGGAAGAGATGCTGGACGAGCTGGAGGGACGTCAAGACCTGATGGCTGTGGAAAGTGGTACCAACCGCTCGAGTGCTACTACTACTGCTGCTGCTGCTGCCTGCACGTCGACGGCAGGGACGAAGCGGCTCGAGAACATGAACGTCCAAGCGGCGTACATCCACGCGCTTGGCGACTTTATCCAGAGCGCCGGTGTGTGCATTGCCGGTGCACTCGTGTGGTACAAACCAGAGTGGCAGATTGCCGACCCGATCGCGACGTTTGTGTTCTCTGTGCTCGTGCTCGGCACGACCGTTGGCATTGTTCGAGACAGCATCCACGTGCTCATGGAGGGCACACCGGATGGCATCCACGCAGATGAGATCGAGCGGGGTCTGCGCCACTGCTCGTCCGTCGTGGCGGTCCATGACTTGCACATTTGGTCGCTGAGCGCGGGGCTGCCGTCGCTTAGCGTGCACCTCGTGTCGGACGACGCTGAAACGGCACTGCACGCGGCTCAGCGCTACTTGATTTCCATGGGCATTACGCACACTACTATTCAAGTGGAGAAGACGTCGACGCTGTACCCGCGCAATTGCAGCTCGGACCTCAAGTGCGGCCAAAACTCTCCGCAGCACAGCCACTAGACCATCGCGTCGGAATATTGTATTAGTGCAGGAACGCTTCCTAGCAAGGTGATGCTGAACGAGACAAAGCCAGTTTGCTGAGTACATGTTGCTATGCCAAAGTCTGTCGTTGGTCTCGCACGTTTGCTCTGTTCCTGTCGCTGGACAACAACGCTGTACAACTTTTGCGCTTTCCTTCTTGCTCGTCACTTTGGCACGACGGACAAGTTGTCGATTCTTCGGATGCGCTGGAACATGACCAAGTTGACTTATCGACTACGCAATTCACTAGGCTGACGACTACTTGGAGAACAGAAAGCGTATGATCAATTGCGCGGGCTACGGATACAGCCATCAAGGCACGAAACGCTTATCAGGACGTATCGAATCATATAGCAACATTCGTGAGGTGGATTTGCATGAAGCCTACGAGCAAGCGTACGCCCCACATGTGCGTTGCGTAAGAAGTAATTTTCCACAAGATCGCAAGGGCACATTTTCCACATCATCGACTTGTCGGAACCAAACTTTGTAAAGTAAACAATTGGCTTGCTTACACTCTCGCATAGGCGCAGCGATATGTGTGACAGCTTTTTTCGCTATAGATGCTACGTCGGCAAAGAAAGCAATACGTCTGATGACATCACAAGAGGAGGCAGTAGATAGAAACGTGTACAGAGTTTGAAGTTTGAGTACGTGTGAGTACCCTTTGTTTGCTATTCAACACGCAGCTAAGCATAATCGCTGGAACTAACAACGAGGGAAAAGTACAATATTTGGCCGATCGGAATGCAGACATCCCCACTTTCATGTGTCTCAACTCACATACGGATGCTCTGCTAGTACCATGGTTGATGCTCGATACTAATTCATAATCAAAGTGATTTCATGTATTGTGCCGTCGAGTGTTTCTGTCACTTACAGTCACACGAGATGTATCTAGTAGTGAGTGAAGTGGTCATCAGTACACGATGGAACAAGGACGAGCAAATATGAGGAAAAGCATGTTAAAGTGAAAGCAAAGACTCGCAAGCGATGAAGAACGCTTGTCTTGCAAGCTGCAAGCTTATAGGCGGATATAGCTAATGGTGGTGTTCTTACAAATCGAAAGTACCTATCCAGAAAGACTTGCTCTAGTTGCGAGCTCGTGAAAACGACCAAACATGTAACGGGCACCAATCACTTGTACTGACACAGTACATAGACCACAATGTAGGCAGGGGCCTCGAAACATCACGTACACTGCATGCGCAGAGGAAGAGGAGTCTACTGAATGAACGCGCTATGAAGAAGGAAAAAGTAGAGCCTTGTATGATCTACGGCTAACGTCTCTTCGGCATGATCTCTTGTGTCTTCCTTCAACTACCGATTGCGGACTACAAACATGTAATATGGCTGCCTGCTCTCTCTACCCATTGCGCGCGTCTGGTAGCGATTGGTGGTTTAGTTGGCAGAGATGATGGCCTATATCGATAAATGAGTGGAGCAGTACCGAATTCCATACCTCCGAGGGTAATATTCCTCCAGTATTTACTTAGCAAGGGAAATACTGTAGAATATTGTCAAAATTGGGATAACATTCGCATTGATCCTTTTTTTGGTGTCAATGTCACGTCACCGGCTCACGCCAATACAGACATGCAAGACGCTGCATTCCTGACTGTGCTTCGTCTTATTCATCCGGTAAACGCTTTTTTGACGATTGTTCGACGTTGGTGTATGCTCTTGTGCAAAGGATGTAGGAAGTAAACGTAAAGTGTATTTGGTGGTAATTACCATCGTCAATGTGTCTTACCATATGCAGTTGACCAGCAGTGCAACTTGACCTAGTCAAGTTGCACCTGGTACACATCCAGCGTGCCCATCACCATGTGCTGGTCCTGGTCCCATGCGACGTCCGTATATCGTTTCTTCATCCACCATCGTTCGCCTGATGATTCGACATGATGCTCGTCTTCTTCGGTCCCAGATTTCAACTTGTCACGCGCTTGTCCCAAAGATCACGATGTCGTTCAGTGCAGGAGTCTTGTTTGTCAAAAACTCCATGGGTGATACTTCACCAAAATTTGACTTGGTTTTGCTCCGGTTGAGTATGTATGAAGCATACTATGCGGCGCCAACCCAAAAGTAGAGCGGCAGGTTTGATGCAAAGACCATGCTTCGCATCATATTCATGATCGTGCGATGCATTCTTTCAGCCTTGCCGTTGCTCGCCTGGTTCCGTGCTTCACTCACTTGACGCGAGACACCCGTGGTGGAGCAAATTATGTCGAGTGTCTTGTACTCGCCTCCACCGTCGGTTCGCAGTACATGCACCTTTCAGTTGAGCTATCGCTCGGAACTTGCCATGAATAGATTAAGCTCTAAAGCTGCTGCATCCTTCGATTTCGACAAAAAAAAACCGACAGTAGCTACACCGGTGGTCAATGAAGTTGACCATGTACCGATTAATTAAGCGATCCGTAGAGGTAATTGGTCCCTTAAGGTCCGAGCAACTAACTCTACCGATCACATCGATGGGTTAGTTCGCACCCGTGTCCTTATTGGATTGATATTGCTTATTTTGATTTCCCTTGGTACATGCGAGGCACTTTTGACGAGTCGTGTCGGTGAGCAGGATGCCTGAAGCTGGGTCGTCAGCCATCTTGATGATCGTATTACAACATATGTGTCCCAGACAACGATGAAAGTGCACCAAGGTGCCACGCTGAACATCCGAATCATGTTCAGGTTCAGGTGAATTGATCACCGTCATCATTGTCTCACGTGGTAGCTTGGCGTCTAGATTGCCGTGACCATTCACTGCGACAACCAGAACATTGTTGCTACACGCAACATCCATGACGGGAGTGCCACCAACACCGGAGGACAGCACAAGTCTCCCTGCTCGGTATTCGAGGATGCATCCATTTGCCTCGAGAAACCCATAGGATAGGATGTTACGCTCGATGTTTTCCGCGTACTGAACATTGAGAAGTCTTACGGTATTCACCGGGCTAATTGCGGTATCTTGGAGGTCCACAGTTCCTTGATGGGTGAATCGCAGCACACTTTTATCGGTGGCCGCGATTAGGCGCTCGCTCTTACACGGGGTCGAGTTAGTGAGGAGACTGAGATCATTAACCAAGTTTCTGCTCGCACCACTGTCGATTATCCAATGCTTTGCACGATCGACATCGCCATTGCCGATCGCAAAGACGAAGTTTGCACCTTGGTTCTCCCTCTTGACCGAGGGACACCTCGACCGAATATTTCCAACCTTTTTACATTTGTGGCACACTCGTGTGTCGGTCCGAGGTCGAGGTCCTTCCAAATTCACTTTTTCCTTGGTCCTTCTCATGGGATCCACGACGTTTACCACATCCCTGCCAAAATATTTTCATTCGCGCCGATCTCCGTTAACAGCAAATTGAGCCAGCTCTTCTGCTTGACGCAGGTAATCGACACGATGTAAGTTTATCCTAGACAGCATCGTCGTCCACATATTTGGATCTTCATAGTGAACTATGTTGTTCAACACAAGGCTGTCGGCACCTCCGCAGGCATATCTGACGGCCGTCAAGTAGAGGAAATGATCCATCCAGCTTCTTTGTGACGCCTTGGGTGCCGTAAATAGTGTCATGATTTGTGCTGGTTAGATCTTGGTGGTTAACGTCTGCAACATTCTCTGCATCGTGTGATCCAATGTTTGTTCTTCACGCCACCAAGTCTCCACTTGTCTGTGGTAGTAATTCTGGGCCTTTCAGGCCAAGTGTTGACCCAAGACATCAACCTTGATATCTTCCGGCCACATAAATCCACACGCTCGCTCCGCGAAGCCGACTTGGCGGACGAATCTTTTCCCCCATTCTATGCACACTGTGCCGAGACCGTAGTACAGTTCCTTACTGTCGAAGGGTTGTAGCGCGAGCTTTCGTTCTCGTGCATCTGGCATGCCGACTGCCGGGCGACCTGGGTACATGTATTCTCGGTTGGCCATGCCCATGTCGGGATGGTATCCCGCCGGTAAACCCGTTTCGTAAACTTCAGGGTCGGGTGTCTGAACCGTGTTGACCTCCGGGCCTGCGACTCTCGCAGGAGGACCTTCAACATCTGCCTGTTGATGTTGCCGCATACCGAAGTATGTTGCTGGCGACACGTTTGGTGACGCTTTCGGAGGGATCTTCTCCAACGCCTGGATATTGATTTCTGCTCCGACCTCCCTCGCCCTAGCAGCCTCCTTTGGCTTCGGTGAGTTCACATCGTCTTTGCTGTCTTGTTCTCTTTGGGAGACCTCCATACGGTTCATCCTTTCGGATAGGTCTCCTACCATGACCAGCATTTGTTCAATCGCCGCTAAGGGCGCTGCCGACTTTTCTTTTGAGTGATGGGGTCAGTCTTGACATGACAGTCGACCGTCACTGTAGGTGCAGCTAGGTCAAACGCACCACCAGCACATTTAGTTGGGCTCATAACCTCTTAGACGTTGGTGTATGCACTTGTGCAAAGTATGTAGGAAGTAAAAGTACGTTGGTCAGACGTTGGTGTATGCTCTTGTGCAAAGGATGTAGGAAGTAAACGTAAAATGTATTTGGTGGTAATTACCATCGTCAATGTGTCTTACCATATGCAGTTGACCAGCAGTGCAACTTGACCTAGTCAAGTTGCACCTGGCACACATCCAGCGTGCCCATCACCATGTGCTGGTCCTGGTCCCATACGACGTCCATATATCGTTTCTTCATCCGCCATCGTTCGCCTGATGATTCGACATGATGCTCGTCTTCTTCGGTCCCAGATTTCAACTTGTCACGCGCTTGTCCCATCCGTCACGCTCGTGTGCCAATCAGATGAAGTCGCCCATAACCTGTAACAGGTGTTGTAGTTACGGTCGCAACTTCAGCGTCCTGTCAAATACAATATTTTTTAACAACGATGGCGTGCGTAAAGGAAGGGATAGATGGAGATAGCTGCTAGCAGTGGCAGGAAAGAGACCGACAAAAATCTTCGATTTGTACCTTCAAGTAAACATTGCTTAAACCAGCTCAGAGACATAGCACAAGTCGTACGTTGTGCACAATACTGACTAAAAAAATACGTATCATGCAACATTTACCAAACTAGTGGTATGATTCGGCAAAGTAAAATGTCAATGTATTGAATCTTAGTCGTTGTAACATACTACATCTTCTTCGTATACCGCGGCGAACCAACGATCTCATGCGGATTTACGTTACCTACCGACCAAATGACGGTGTGCACGTTATGTACCACTACGAAGGAACAAACGGACGTATTCTTCCAACTCGATCAAGTACTTGGCCAGCTCATCTCCTCGCATTGTTGTTAACAAATGGTCCGTTGCCTTTTGCAGATCCTTGCTTGCAATAGCTGCATATTCTAAGACGAAGGCTCGATAAGCGCGATAGGTGGGGGAGTCTTTCTTCAAGCTGATGATCGGCTCTTCTTTAGTGTGCACACGGCGCGCGAATTGACTGATATCAACACCCTCCTCCTTGATCATTTGATTGTAACGAAGTTTCTGCATCGTGTCAGCTAGCTCCTGCACGTCTTCATGCTTCCTCATTTCGTCAAACATACCTACGTAGTACCAGTCAGATTTTTCTGGGGCACGATCGTCCAAAAGTTTCAACGTTTTCTCAACGGGAAACGCCTTGTGACCCTTTTCCTTCCTGATCAGCTCGGTGTAGCGAATCCACAAGACTATCCCGCCATTCCAATCTCGAACCATCTCGAGCACGTCTTTTGGCTTCATGTTCGATTTCAGCCAAAGCTTGTTCAGTATCGTGGAATAATAGCCGCTGGTCGACTCGAATAATACTTTCTGGAACTCGTCAACGGGGTATTTCTTCTTCTTGGAGCGAAGTTGATGGAAAACTCGGTCAACGTATCAGGACTTCTTTTGTTTCCGATGAACTTGATAATATAGTTCTCGTCACCTATCGCCTCAGATTGTTTCTTGAGCTTGGACAACAGTTTCTCCCACTCCCTAAATAACTGGCGATACCCTCGCTCTCTAGGAGTCGATAGTCGTAATGCATTCGGCAGCAGATCCGCTCCTTTCTCTGCAAAACGTCGAATAGATTCAAAAACTCGCTCTTCATCGCCCTCGTCGTCATGGCTGAGCTTGCCGGCAGTTGGATCATGCAGATCCACTTGTGCGTCTGTAGTGAGCACAGTCGTGTTCGAAAGCGGAAGGTCGATATGGTTGAGAGCAGACACGCGAAGCAGGTTGCCGTCCGCGGCAACAAGGACCAGGAATAGGGGGCAGAATATACGCATTCTCACGACCGCTGCTTGTTGCTCGTCAGGCGATCGCAGAATGAAGAATGGGAAGACGGAAGGGGGAAGGGGGAGCAAATGAGAAATGAAGAGAATGGAAGCAGAGCGAATGAGGAATCGGAAAAGACGTGTGAGGAACGACTGACGAACACACTTGTGTTCTCTCCCGAGGCCCGCGCAGAAACGAGGGAATCCTATCACAAAGCGCTCCCTTCGCTTGTCGCTTCATACAGGAACGCTCAGGCACTTTGCGATGTAGGGCTGTGCTTTGTTCCGACAGGTCTCACAGCAGAGGACATAGCCAGGGGGTCGATATCAGTCTCGCTACAATGTGTCAGTACAGTATTCCCTAAGCCCAAACAAACGTTAGAGCAACGCGACGCGTCGAGACGATGGAATAATTGCCTCGTGCCATTTGCAGCCACTGAACAAGAACGCACTGCTCCAATTGATCTCGACAATTGTCCTAAAACAATCGATCATACGATTCAGTCGGTCGTAGATGTCATTTGCAAGAAGGAGTACATACGACGAGGCTCGCGTCGCTTTTCTGAGGGACGACGATAGATACAAGCACGTCCATTACCGGTGGTAAGGATTGAATCGAACCGGCTGCTTAAACGAGGAAAGCGATCGTCTGGCCCTGTAAGCTTACTCCATACACGCCATGGTCGTCTCGTGGTAAGAAGTGTACACGTACATTGAATGTGACGGACACTGAAGCTATTGACTGGTCAAGACTCGGCAAATGCCTATCTTCCTGCAATCTCTTTCTTGGCCTTCACTTGGCTGATCCACATGCTTGCGCTCTCCCTGATCTCTCTCTCGTCAAAATCCTGACCCTAGCGGCTGGACGACCTTTGCAGCCAGTACGCAACCAGCAACAGCAAACAGGAGGAACTCAAGAACTGGGGGAAGGGCACAACGCGCATCAACAACGGAGCACTTGGTACTGACTGTTGCGCGAAGAAACACAGCAAAATGGTTTGGTGAGTTTGTGCTGTCGCAGCACCGCTCGTCGTAAGCGGTACACACTCTTAGAGAACTTTTACGGAATTCAGTATCACGTACAGCTTCTGCGTCATGGCCTCCTTCATACATGAAATCGTGACAATGTTCGGAGTTGAAGAAGGCCAACGAGACATCGACTCTCAAAAAAGCCCTTTGAGCTCAGCTTCCGTCATGGACATGTCGCTGATCTTGGCACTGGGAATCGTGAGTGCATAGTCAAGCCAGGTTTCACGACATGCCGTTCTTGGGCATCCTGTCGCAGGATCAGTCAAGCGTGGCCACACACACACATACAAAGAGTTCGATTGCTGTACGAGATCGACGTCGTTCTCTTGTAGCGGTCGAAAATTGTCTACCCGATAGAGGAAGCAGTAAGATTTGACGCTGCATCTGTAAAGTCAAGAGTCACGTTCTGACAACGTGACGCATCCATTCTGTTGTCTTCGTGACTTGAGTCGTGGATATGGTCGACACATGATAGACCGTTGACTTGGTCTAATACGAATGCTCTTGTCGATTGTCAAACTTGAAACCATCAACCTTTATCTTCAGGTAAGCAATCAACATGTATCCTCCCTTCTAACGCGTTGCTATAATCGATGACAAGTTCGTAGTCGATCTCGGTATAGATATAAACGGGCGGTCACGGCATTTCCGAACTCGTCACGTAGACAGATCTGGACAACAGGCAGAGCGCATCGAAGCGGCGCGGAACAGCTTATTGTATAGACGCCTTGCTGGAACCAACGCGCGGACTCAGTTAAGAAACCCTGCCGCACACAGCTTCAGCAAAATCGGCAATCACAGCGCTAGCTCTTGTCTACAACCCATTCAAGAGCCGATTTGCTGCCGCCTCCACATTGTTGTCTGCGGTTCGCAGAGCTTGTAGTGCACGTTCTCTATCAAATCCAAGCACCTAGTCACAGACAAAGTTCAGCTATAGCCATACACATTCATTGCACTTGGACGTTGAACCCTACTCACCATGAGCTGCTGGACCGCATCTTCAGACGGAGGTGCGGCGGCCATATGAGGAGGTAACATGCCGTTACCAGCAGCCGCTGCAAAGCCACCATCAGGCAGTATTCCACCTGCACCTGGCAGTAGCTGATCACGAAAACCACGCCCTTCAACGGCCTGTGCAGCTGGACGGTCCATGTTATAGCGTGCATTCAGTCTGCGCTGCGCTTCGAGCGCCGCTCGCTGTCGTTGAAGCGCCAACGTACTTGCAGGAACGACCTCGAACAGCGGGTGCAGCAGTCCAAACATCGAACACACAAAGGATGGCAGCCGCAGGCGTCCGAGAGGTGTGTTGTTGAACAACAGTCCGAGAAACGATCCGCTTACAAACGGAATCAACGCACGGGAGTCACGCGCCAACAACTAAAACAGAGCAGCCACCATACAACAAGTGCCAGCTCAGCTCAGCTCCACAGCAAACATCTGAGTATCCGAATACAAATTGCCGTACCACGAGCAAAAGCAGATACGTGCTTGACTTGTCCGAAAAGTGCAGACCCCACACGCTCAACATCCGAGGCTGCAGCTTTGGAACATACTCTGAACATCAACAAGCATAACACACCGCATCAGCCGACACTTTGTGTACTTCGCTTGTCACGCCAATCGTACTGTAAAAGTAAACCGCAAAAGCTCCAAGAACCGAGTACGGTCCTCCGGCAATGGCCTTTGACAGCCACAACGGGGCCAACGTCAGCGCCGCCAGCTCCAATGCGCCCGACGTGAGCAGCACATAAACTGCGATACTACTGAACTTCCGAGAGCCCAAGAGGCGTTCCAAAATGCGAAACTGGAACACGACGTAGAGACCGATAGACACTGCGAGTCCACTTCACAAAACAATATCACAATCGAGCGTTATGTATTGCAATATGACAGGACTGCATCCGCACAAAGTCGAGATTGCAATTAAGTACGCACTGGTGGAATGTCAATTGGCTGGAAACGAGCCGCCAATACTGAGAACGAGTGAGGACGGCGTCCCTGTCCAGCGAGAGCAAGTGGCCTCGGTCCAGCAATAGACTGGCCGAGCTGGCGACGCCCACAACCAGCGAGAAAGCATACGTCACAGGCGCACCGTCTGCCACGTGCACAAGCGGGTGAGGATCACAGAGGGAGGAGACAAGAGCAGAGACACACACAACGAACAGAAGCCGCGAAGGTCGCCGTGCATTTTGAGCGGTAGTGTCGCTGCCACGTTTTGGGGTGGTTGAAGTAACCGCGTGAAGTAAGCGAACTTAGCGGACCATCAGTGTGTGTCCTGTTTTGTGGTAAGTACGACCAGCTTCAACGTGACCCCCAGCGATTGCGTATGTGACACACCTCCACTTTTCAATCGTCGTTCGACACGAACAGTGCACGTCGCACGTGACATCAATGAACACTACACATACAAAAACGAGCACGTTCGCTGAAGCACGTACCAAGTTCGTCGCCTCGAGTTGCTACATCACTGAAATGCTGTCTGGCCAGCGCTAGAGCGACACCAACGTATCTGTATTGCGCCAAGACGCTCAGAAAGGGTCAATGGCAGTTGCAGTGACGACTGCAGAGTATCTTCGATCGCCTCCATATGTGACTGCGTTGCCTCAATCGAGGACCTAACAGCTCATTATGAGCATACAGCCACGGACAAGCAGCTAAGTTGGTTTATCACCTCGTCCACAACATGGTAGTAAAGTACGCGGATCCACACTCAAGAGCGACAGCTTCATATTTTGCGCTTCCATACAAACTAGGCGTCGATGAGGTGATGACTTGTGTGCCGAGACAGCACTTACGACTTGCCTAGTCTGTCCGTTGTATTGTAGTTTCCAGAGACTCGTGTGCATTGGGTGTGTAAAGCCATTGTGCTGACGGCGTTTTTATGCTGCTGCGCGTAGAGAGTCACCCATGTGAAAAGAAGAAGACAGGCGAGCTACATCTTTATCACAGCTCCAAGGCCGCTAATGTCGGGCTGTATCTGCACGCAGCAAGCTGAGTACACGGCTATTGTTGTGTGAGAAGCATCAGGCCTCGTCACAGTGATCGCATCGAGCACGAATCCGTATGACTTCAGGTGTATGACATGTAGAGCTGTCTCTATGGACAGCAACTGTACGGTGGAGTGACGGAGGTGCTACAAGATCGATAAGAGGTTGTGCACGAAGACCTATTGCGCGGCAGCTAGATGGAGCGCCACGCAAAGCGCCCAAACCAGTCAAGTGCCGACGTAATTGCCCACAGCGCGCTTTTGCGCTTTCCACGGTCACTAGTACAACGTGACATATCTGTCCAAAGAGCACATTCCTTGAGTCCATGGTGGTCGCAACAAGGTATGCTATTTGCACATCGTGATACCAAAGTCAGTCGAGTTTAGTAGTGCTGACTCGTGCATTTATGTCGCAGCACTCAGTCAGTCCATGCACCGTTATGCGTTGTGTTGTTCCCAAAGTAGTGGGCCTAAACTTGTTACGTTCATAGCTCAGCAAAGGACCAGGCACGTCAGAGGACGTGCTACACTTGGCCATCAATTGCAAGCAGCCCTTGTCGAACTGAGCAGCGATCACAACGAAGAGTTCGTAAGCAGCTAGAGTTGCCTCGGCATTATCATCGCCTAATCGACATTCTCTACGTACGTTTGCGTTGTGGAAGTCTAGTCTTCAGTAGTTGTGCAGCTATGCCGAAATCATGGGACCCTCACTAGCTCCGTGTCTTCAGTTGCACGACTGTAAGCGTATTTGCTTGCAGGTTTGCAAGTCGTAACACGTCTACGGTCTCCTCTGTCGCGTCTAAGTTTGTAGGATTTTTTGTCCGCATAAGCTCTATAACTCGACGATCCGACTCTAAAAACATTGCGAGCTCGTACAACAAGTGGGTAAGTGCTGTCTATGGGTAATTTACAGCACATCCTTCGGGCCACGCACCACAGTTAGTGCGTGTTTTCCGGGCAGAGCTCATCAGACTGCATAACGCATCACCACTGCATTGCTGCAATTGCATTAGGGTCTCACTCATGAACGGAAATGTCAAGATGCGGTAGTAGGGATCTGCAACTCAAGTCGACTCGAATGCTTTTCGTGGCAACCTCTTTGCTTGCCAGCTCATGCGACTCGCCCACTAGTCCTGCATCGTTCTTGATCTCGCTACCGTAACCGACCTCATTGTTGCCATCTATCAACACTCCTGAATCCCTGAACGTGAAGTGGTAGCGCTTTCGTCCCGAATGCTATCGACGCGTTCGCGTCCCGAATCCTGCGCATTTCTTCTCGTCAACAACGAAACAGTCAATGGTACATCGATCACTGCTGCTCGTACAAGCATCGGCTTGCCTTGTCTTCCCAAAGCACTTCAATGATCAACACCCAAACATCACTTCAACAAGTCACCATACCCGAACGGGAGATAAGGATCCTTCCTGTTCAAATTTATCAATAAAAATCAGCCGCCAATGAGCAGCGCACGCAGTATCTATTGGAACGGAGAAAAGTAAAAAGTGTGTCCATGAGGACACATATACTGGCCAGCTTGGCTGCCCGGCGGCATCTGGACGCGCGTATAGCACGTGGGGCATTGCCGCATGATCGCCCTCGATCCAGAAGTCAAGGCGGTCGGTCCTCCAGAAATGCTCTGTCGTCCGCCATGTGAATTGCCCATCGTGGGTGGCAGACGCAACTGGAAGAGGTGACCATTCGGACACTGCAACGTGCCGCGCGCCGTCGTGTTCACGAGACAACGAATGCGACACGTGGGGCACTCGACCACGACATTGCTCCTGGAAGCGGCAGCAGCGGCAGCGGCTCTGGCGCGTTCTTGCGCTGTGGGCGTGTGGGCCAGCGACTGCCCACACCCGTCACAATATTGCCCTCCTGATCCTCGTTTGCCGCAGTTGGTACCTATTGCATCAACAGACAACAGCAGTAGGCAACAGGACACGACCGAAACCGTCAGTAGCGATAGCAGATTCGTCCGACATCCCGCGTGGACTCCACCGACTCGCGCCAGTACGTACAGTAGGGGTGCGCTTTCACGAGCCCTTTCGTCTGCTCGGGCCACTGCGTCTGCGGCTGCCGACAGATGGGGCACTTGTCCGAGTTGGCCTCGTCGTGGTTGACGTTCTCGAGCAGACAGCTGAAGTGAAAGCGGTGGCCGCACTCGGCCGTGAACAGCGCGCGGCCCATTGCGAGTTCGTCCAGACAAATGACACACTCGGGCGCGTCTTCGAGCACCGCCAGTGGCACGTGTTTGTTGCTGCTGCTGCTGCTGCTCGCGCGTCGTGGCACAGCGTCTGCAGACGCGGGCGCAGGAGGTGCGAGTTGAGTCGCGTAGGCGGCGCGATGTCGGGGCCGTCGACGCGGCTCGACGTCGCTCCAGCGCCGCAGTCGGACGGCCATGTTGTCGGAGGGTATGGACGGGATGAAGAAGAGGTGAGTGGGGGTACGCTGTTTCGCCGAGTGGAATCCAGTGCGGTACGCTGGGGGTACACTTGGTGGGTACCGTATACGCTCCGAATAGAAGCGTCTTCTTTTTTCGTGCCGACGTGAGGGAGTTGGTGTCGTGTGTTTGTTTGTTTGTGGGAAGAGACTGACCCGTTTGATACGGTGGGCGGAAGTCGTTGGCGTCCGTTAGTTGGCCATTTGTGCAGTAACGAACGAGCGCTCGAGACAGACAAAAGAGAGAGAGAGAGAGAGAGAGAGAGAGAGAGAGAGAGAAGAGGCAAAGAGAAAGGGCAGATAAAGAGAAGAGATAGTAAGTGAGGGAGTAAGTGAGCAGTGGCAAAGCGACTTGACGGATAGATACAGTGGTGGAGAGATCGTAGAAAATGGGCAACAGCCTCTCAATGTGCGGCTTGGGCGCAAGTACCGACGACGACGACCCGCAACTGGTGCGTACTCTGTTCGCTGTCGATCGTTCTCGACTCTACGACAAGTGACAGAGCCTTTTGGCTCACGTTGTTGTTGTTGTGGTTGTTGTGGTTGTTGTTGTTGTTGCGGTTGTTGTGTTCCACGCAGCAGCAGACGCAGCAGCAGTGCAAAGCCTCTGCGCGGTATGTGCACCGGTCCGTCGTGAGCGAGCGTAAGCACTCTCTGTCCACAGCAACGGACTCGTCCGTGGCCTCGATCCTCTCGAACTCGGAGCAGCTCATTCCAGACGCGTTCCTGCCGCAGGACATCGAGGTGCTGTCCCAGCGCCGACAGCGGCCGCATCGCGGCTCAATGGCCTCGCGCTCGTCGTCGAGCTACAACTACAGCAGCGGTAGCACGGGCTCGTCGCGAGTCAGCAACTTGTCGTCTCGAGGTGTCGGTCTCGTGCACGTCGTGCGCACGCTGACTCGAGCAGAGACCGTTCCAAGCAGCGTGAGCAACAAGTACAACTTCGGCGTCAAGACGGCGTCGTGTAGTTTCGGCTACAGCGACGACGAGGGTAACCCTGCAGCGGTGTCCAGTCGACGCGGTGAGAGACCGTCGGAGCGGTGAGCCGAGTGAGATGTGCGGTGGATGAATGAAGAATCGAGAGAGGCGATGCGTCCAAACTGCAGCGTCACGGAGCTATATCGTAGTGGAAAAGACGGAAAGACCACGAAGAAGCGACCCAACGCTGGCACGTCAGCAGCCTCACGTCAGCACAAGAGATGAACAGTGGACAAACTCGTCGGTGTCTGTGTCAATAGAACACGCCATGCAGCGTCCAAAGCGCCTCGACGCCTTTTCTACACAGTTGTGCTGTCGTCTGCTTCCTCCACGCAAAGTCACTTCTTGACGGCGGCTCTCAGCTCTTTGGCCTTGCGCCTGCACTCTCGATACGCCTCACTCTCCTTCTCGCACTCTTCTCCGTCCCGCAGTCCTCCGCTCGCAGCAGTCTTTGCCTCCACACACCTGTACACACGACAGCAAGTGACTGACTACTACCCCTCTCGTTCTCCGATCGTTGCTCTTACTTCACAACGGCTACACTTACTTCACATAGGTCTTCATCGCGTCTGCGCACGGGTCGTCGACCGGCGCCGCGGGTTTCGTCACGTGACCGCCCATTACTGTGTGGTAGAACGGCCGAGACAGACAGACAGACAGACAGACAGAGGCACGTGGAGAGGACGAACTGAGTGACTGGTTAAGTATCTGCGCCACGGGTCTTGTCGCGCGAGGTGTCACACCGGAACAGGCCAAACAGGGACCTGATTGCGTGAACAGAGCGAGACACACACACACAGTCACACTCCAGAGCCAAACGCCCTGTAAACAACCGCTCACACGAACAAAATCATATGTTTATGCAGTGCGACAGCTGGAAGAGCGGCAGATTCCATCGATCAAAACAGTGCGAGCGGAGTGAAAGCCGAGCGGAAAAGTGCCGACGAGACGACTAATGGCCGAGTGCGTTGTTACAACAGCTGCTGTCTTTGCTCCTTCTCATGTCTGAAAGTTGTCACACAGCCGACAGAGTTTTACTAGTGAGTCTGTCTGGCTGAAACACAATTTATTACATCGGCTAATCAGCTGAAGTGGCCGTGTCGGAACACCTTTGGAACGAGAACATGACGCGAAAGCAGACGCCGACGCGCAAACGAGTCGGTCGTCATTTGTAGCAACGTTTACTGTTCATGAATGTAACGTTGGACAATCGCCGGATGGCGTCATTATGTGCTTGCACGCACGCCCATCACACGTTCTACCACTCATCACAAACAGCTCGACAAATAGGTTTGCATGGCACGCAGCAACAGACTGGTGGAATCCGTGCACAAACAACATCTTGGACCCTGGGGTTGGACTGATGTTCTACGCTTGTCAGCGCACAATCATCTTCGCGGCTTAGCGGGGGGAAAAGTAGTGCGGGACGCTCGCTTGATTATAACTCGGTGTCTCTGCTGCTACTGCTGCTGCTACCAGTACTCCTATACGCACAGCGTAACGCCAGTGCTTGCTCGACCTGCGCGCCAGTTGTCGGAGCAAAAGAGACTTGGCAGCGTCGCAGTGCAGAGTTGCTGCTTTAACGGCATTGTTTTAACGGGAAGTGCCACATCTGCTCAGCTTGGCCAATGTCGCCGATCTCTACGCCTTCCTGACAATCGCAGGCCTCTCGAATCCGTGCAGCAGCCCCACAGCTTGGTCGTGCAACGATGCGCAGATTTTCACCGTCGTCAGTACACCCGATAACACCATGTAGCATCTACTACGATAGCTGTGTACGTGCACTGATTCGATCCAACTTACCTCGCGTTGTGCAGACACTACTCTCCAACAGTGGCCAGGAATGCCTCAATCTTGGTGTCCGCATCGCTAGGGTTTTCTGCCGTCGTCTGATCAAATTGCGCCTCAATCTTTGATCCAGCGAACCACCGCCCGTTCATCACTTTCATACACGCGATAGCGGATTTTAAGTCGGCAAAACGCACGATCACAGATCCGTCTGCTACAATCTGCACAACTTCCACCACGCCATGTTTGGCACATTCGCCACGCATGTCGTCCTCCAGCTCGACAAAGAATGCAGCATCGCTGCTATCCAGTGGGTTCCATACGTGCTTCAGGATGACTGAGCGCGATGGCAAGTCCAAAGACGGCAAATCATCGGTTGGACTGTTTTTCACCGGCGTCTCTGCTGCTCGTTGATAATCGTCGACAGCCGCTTCGCTCTCCTGTGTCTCGCTTACCTTTTTGCTCGAGAAATTTGCCTCTGTTGCTCTAGCGTTTGCATACATATAAACATTAAAAGTAAGCACTCTGACCCTTATGACGCTCATATCGATCGCTTACGTGATGATCACTCCTGGCTTCACCTCAAAGTGGTTCAGCTGCGTAACAAAGTACGAGACGTGGATGAGCAACAGGCGTCCATGACGTACGCAGCAAGGCGAGGTTCCGAAAGAGAGACGGTCCAAGTCAGACTCATGCACCAACAGACAGCAGCACCAGCACCAGCTTTACCCTCTCCACGGCCTTCACCATTGTAGCACGCGAGTTGAACGTCACTACAGCGTCACCCTTCAGACCTCCTCGTTCGTCTCTGTAGAACTTGATACGCCGCACTTTGCCGAGCCGAGAGCACACCCCCTCTGTCCAATGAAGCAGCACAAGAGCAGCGCTACGTGTTATTTCTTCAGCTACCGCTCCCTCCTTCGTCACATAGAGACCACAGACCGAGCTGTCTGCACGCCATATACGTCGTGAGACCAGTGATGTATACACTGCTGTTGCTTTTCACTCCCTTCTGCGTCGGCGATTTAACACTTGCGGTCGTGTTTTGAGTCTCCGACGCGAGTTGGTCGTCCACCGCCTGAGAAGCCTCACGTTCGTCCTGTCTGCAGGCACACACCCAAAGCGTAACGACAAAGACAATGAGAAGTAAATTGGAAGCATTAACAGGCGAGAGGAGCCCTCACTGGCGGATGTACGCGAGGTTCTTGGCATGGGCACGTTTGATCCGCTCCAGGTCGATGTCCATGGGAATATTTGTGATTGTTTGTTCGTTGAGTGGGACAGACATGGGACAAATGTGCCAATAAGCCAGAATAGGTGTGTCCAAATGTCGGATTGATGACCACTTTTGACAAGCGGCTGCTAGTGGGTACAAAATTAAAGGCCAATTTTTTAGTCGCGACTTCGACAAAATTAGGTCGAAACGGGTGCCCATATTCAGTATCTTTTGTGAGCTTCGTCTTTCATGATGTAACAAAGTGAGCCGTTTTGCATGACATTGACGTTCGTAAATGTCACTGCGAATAATATCGTGGCGTGATATTGTCTCGAGTATTGCTATTCGACGTACTTTTCAGTCATTTCTTCTCATTACTTGATTTAAAGGATCAAACTTACTAACAAAGCGTCCAACCACTCTCTAAACTGCAAAGCAGCGATCACCAGTTTTGCAAAGAAAAAGAAACAAACCTCAATCGTTCATCGGACTGCCAAGCCTAGGGAAATGCTTCCACCTAGCCTATTGGCCATTATCCTATCGGAAGAGCTACTATCGCTGTATAAGAGTTGCTGTCGACCGACCACTTCGGAGTTACGGCAGTTTCTAAACGCAAATGATGTAGAAAAATCAGGCGAGGATAATCCGTTGCAAAGAGACGAAACCGTCGTAGCGGAAGATAGTGACATATAGCATTTCTACTTTGCCCTGGCATCTTCCTTTTCAACAGGCTATGAGCCCAACAAACAAAGCCGCTCGCGCGGTGGAGCCCACCGCGAGGCCTAAGACAGTTGCTGGTCACATAAAGGGCAGTAGTCTACAGGGTGAAGAATCGGAAGTCAAGGCAGAGACGATACGATGGAACACCAGCGAAAGGCTGGTGGACATCCCGACGATACAGCGGAGCGAATACTAAGCTAGAGGCGTCACAAGAGGCCAGGGACCATCTGGTGGACAAGGAGTCCAGCGTGTTCGGCTCGGCGATCGGCCAGGGATCGTCCATAATGTGGGTATATTCGATGTGACGCTTCCGAGGAATCGGTCGCCATTCATTTCTCCAGGTACATACTTCGGGGCTAATCAATCTGGTAATGCGAGGGTGGCTGAACGTATCGAGATGCACATGCTCCGAAGCCGGGTTTGCCACAGCACTATGTGCCACCTCCAGTGTACCAGCAGGCCATGGTACCGCAGCACCTGGCGTTGTATAGTAGAGTTTCCGACGCAAGGCAGCGCAAGCTGAGCATTTTTCGCTTGGATGGAAAGGATTTTCAGTTCTGTAGAAAAAAATTTGTACGGGAAGTCTTTTTCGCCGAGAGACCGAGTGAATTTGCGTGTACAGACGATGTCATGATTGACCTGCTTGGACACAAATTTGACGGAATGGCCGAGTATTACTTCATCCGCCAAATTAAAGGATGGTGGCAAGAGAAGCCGACGCTGGAACACGTCAAAGGGTTATTCATACGTTTGCAACAGATCACTCCAGCATAGATCTTGAAACTGCTCACGGCCCCCAAGAGTCCGAAGCGCAACTAGACTGAACACGTTTTGTACCTGGTCGTAGTAAGCGAGTCATGCGGTGTGGTAGACATTTTGTTACAGGACAAAATCGTCCACTATGCCAATCCATCGATGATATTATCGATGCTGGCGCGTTTAAATATGACATACATTGATCACTTGCTTCAAGCAGGGGAGCTAACGCACTTCGCTCAGTTGACGGAGATCGAGCTGCGTGGAAAGCACATTGAGAAAAGACGTCGCGAATATGGTGCAAAATGTGCGTGAGAAGGCACAAATCGTTAAGCTCAAATATTTGCGGAAGTGTTACAGTTGTGAAAGCTGGGACATATATAGGCTGTGAGTCCAGAAAAAAGACAGACAGAAAAACGAGCGAAAATGTAGCATTTTTCCTTGAATTGAACGACAGGAGCGCTAAACAAAGACATTGGGTATTGGATAGCGCCCGATCCGTCACTTATTGAACGATGAAAGGATCATCGAGTGCCCATAATACTTACAAGGTGAGTGTGTCGCAACTGACGGAGGGCGCCTGTGCACCACGGTGGGAGAAGCAGGACAGTCACAACCAAAGTGTAAAATTAAGGTCACCAGATTGTGGCTTTTAGACGTACCAATTGGACGGACCTCGAAGGGAATCTTATTTCTGACAACATGTTGTGTGCTTAAGAATTCGGGATATCCTACATTGTAAATTACAGGGTCTTCGCCAACATCAACTGCGGGATGGACATCTTCGACGTCGATAATATGGACAACGTTCTCATTGTGAAATCTCATTAGTGTTGGCGCCTTAAAAAAGTCATAGGATTTTGTAATGGCAGTGCTGGCACAAGCCGTAACCGACATAAGTCAAGAGGTGCAAAAGTGATCACTCATGCATTTCCACAAAAGGTTGGCTCATTTTAACTAAGACAAGATTATCACATATTAAAAGATCCAGTGTCAAGAATTGAATTGACCGAATCAGCGCGTGATAATTGCCTATATTGAGCCCAAGAGAAGCAGATCAAGAATTCACAATCGATGAAGACACTGTCGAATGCGCACCGATTAATGTCATAGGATGCGTCATCTGCTCTGACCTTTAAAGTACCAAAAAAACCGAGATCGACGGGGTAATCTCTACTCGGTAAATTTGAGAGCCATTGGACAGATACTTGTCTCTTTTAGCAAGTGATGTTCCAGCGATGTGTGTAGGGCGTATATTTTATATTCGTATGAATTGTCAGGGAATTGTGTAGTTGTTACTTGTTTGTGTTTGTGTGCGAATCAGACACTTTATTGGCTCAGTCGACTAGGTAGGGCAAATCGCACGAACAATACGGGCTCGATCCCAATCGTGAGCATCATCTGAAAGTAACATTTTGGACCAGAAGTAGCGGCGTTTTACAGCACATATCTTGCAAGAGGAAATCACTCAAGGGTAGGACTAAAAGCCATAAAGGGGAAAAGATAGGTAGAATTGGTGGCTAAGAGCCATCGGCTTCTGACAGCCATTGGTTTCAAATCACAAAACCTATTATCTGCACCTCACTTTTCAATCAGCAATCCCGGCGTAAAGCCACCTGCATCAAAGCAATAAAATCTTTAAACAACATTCGCGGTAAAAAACTTCGTGTTCCTGGCGACGACAGAGGACAAGGCAACTCCTCACCTGAAACCCACTGCGACGGATCGTTCACGAACATGCCGACAAGTCTTTCCGTGCTGTTTCCTCATCGCATTACCTATGATCGAAAGATTCTTTCGTGAGCTCTTGTCGTACATCGCATACCGCACACCTTCGGGTCATCGAAAGACTGATAAACCGACCCGACGACTACGAATCACGCACGGAGCTGCTTTGAAGCCTTGCTAGCTCTGTATATGAACAACGCCTCGACATAATGACACGTCATTGACGAGACAGCCGGAATGGTGTCTACGTTGCGAAACAGGCTGAAACGACGCTTTTACTTTTGAGCTCGGTCTCAAAGTCACAAGTCGAAGTCACAAGTACTTGATCCATCGCTCGTCTTCACGTCAACTGCATCATCCAACAAATAGCGAATACCTTTCACGAGATTCGGTATCGGCTTATTCGCATCTCTGTTGCTCTATCATCGACAGCATGACCGCAGCAACCGGCTGATTGCGATTGTGCGTGCGACATATCGTGGTCACGTCCAGTTAGCTGATCTTGGCAATACTTGAGTGCCAGGTGATGTGTATCGACGGTCAGCACCTGAATCAGCTCGTTGGAGTGTATATCGTGGTTGTGTGAGTCAATAAAGCGTGGTGAAAAGTGTAAGCTGAACTAGTCCATGTTGCGGGCGCATAGCGCAGTGCTAGCGCGTCCGCTTTGCAAGCGGAAGGCCCCGGGTTCAATCCCCGGTGTGTCCAACGCTTTGCTTCACCCGCGGTACCCGCTGCGACGGATCGTTCACGAACATGCCGACAAGTCTCTCCGTGACGTTTTCTTATCGCATTACCTATGATCGAAAGATTATTTCGTGAGCTCTTGTCGTACATCGCATACCGCACACCTTCGGGTCATCGAAACACTGATAAACCGACCCGACGACTACGAATCACGCACGGAGATGCGTTGAAGCCTTGCTAGCTCTGTATATGAACAACGCCTCGACATAGTGACACGTCATTGACGAGACAGCCGGAATGGTGCCTATTTTGTGAAGAGGCTGAAACCAGCTTTCCATTTTGGGCTCGGTCTCAAAGTCACAAGTCGAAGTCAAACGTACTTGATCCATCGCTCGTCTTCACGTCAACTACATCATCCAACAAATAGCGAATACCTTTCACGAGATTCGGTATCGGCTTATTCGCATCTCTGTTGCTCTATTCTCGACAGCATGACCGCAGCAACCGGCTGAACGCGATTGTGCGTGCGACATATCGTGGTCACGTCCAGTTAGCTGATCTTGGCAATACTTGAGTGCCAGGTGATGTGTATCGACGGCCAGCACCTGAATCAGCTCGTTGGAGTGTATATCGTGGTTGTGTGAGTCAATAAAGCGTGGTGAAAAGTGTAAGCTGAACTAGTCCATGTTGCGGGCGCATAGCGCAGTGGTAGCGCGTCCGCTTTGCAAGCGGAAGGCCCCGGGTTCAATCCCCGGTGTGTCCAACGCTTTGCTTCACCCGCGGTACCCGCTGCGACGGATCGTTCACGAACATGCCGACAAGTCTTTCCGTGCCGTTTTCTTATCGCATTACCTATGATCGAAAGATTCTTTCGTGAGCTCTTGTCGTACATCGCATACCGCACACCTTCGGGTCATCGAAACACTGACAAACCGACCCGACGACTACGAGTCGCGCACGGAGCTGCTTTCAAGCCTTGCTAGCTCTGTATATGAACAACGCCTCGACATAATGACACGTCATTGACGAGACAGCCGGAATGGTGTCTACGTTGCGAAACAGGCTGAAACGACGCTTTTCGTTTTGGGCTCGGTCTCAAAGTCACAAGTCGAAGTCACAAGTACTTGATCGATCGCTCGTCT